TTTTTAAAAAAAAAAAAAAAAAAAAAAAAAAAAGACAATTTTCTATTTTTAATTTCTACCATTTTTCTAATATTTTGTCATATAATTTTAATGGAAATAATTTTACAGAATAACAGTTAAAATAAAATATAATTTAAATTTAGATGATATTTTAATTCATAGTTTTTGGCTCGTGAAAGTATTTGAATAGAAAATAATAATGTAATAATAATATTAAACTTTGAAACATAATGAAAACAACAAAAAAGCGGTCCAACCTTAACAAGTACTCATCTCAAAAGCCCCTTTCAATACATCCAACAAGAACAAAAAAAAAAAAACTTACCTAATTTGGCAAATTTAAAAGGAGAAACATAATATAACTAATTAAATTAAATGTTCAAATAGACTAAAAAGACATTAATTTATTTTAAAATAAATTGGTTTGTACGTTTTTTTTTTACCAAAATATGAATGTATTTGGTAAACCCTCACCCTCACCCTCACCTAGCCGCAATTAATCCTCTATTTCATTGGTCGGTCACCTATCTAGCAAACCCCAACGGTAACTATAAACACACTAATTAAGTCTCTTCTTTATTTTCCATATGTTTTTAAAAATAATCATTAATGTGTACACGTGTCACTTTCTTATTAGTCCAAACGCACAATTGCCGAACCTCTGATCTCACGTAGGCTGATCCTACACGGACAAGTTGACTGTACCTAAGTTTTTGGAATTTTTCTACCATTTTAATGTGGGACCGTCTTACGTGGCTAGTCTGGATTTGAACATACGACGTACGAGATTCAACGGATCCAACGGCTAGAGTTCATTGCGTCCACCTATAGACTACAGCTTTAAAGCTGCCTTCCGGCTAATTATGCTGCGGATTTAATAATATTTCTATTGTAACGTTTCAAGTCTATGGTTAGTAGATCTTGTTTTTTTTTTACTTCCGTTCAATGTTTTTAAAACACATATGTTAGAGAGAGTTTTTTACACTATTATAAAGAGTGTTTCGTTCTCGACCGGATTGATATGGGATCTCACACATCTCATCGAAGCATCGCATGCTCCTCGTAGCCACCACCATTTTTAAAGTATATATATATATATATATTTTTTTTATTAATATTATTATTAGAAGTATTATAGGTCCACTCCCTATGCTACCACTAGGATTTATATATTTTTTCAAAATAAAATAGGCTTTAAAAAAATTTAAAGTATAGTGCTAGATGAATCCATGCTAATATTTTTTTAATTTAATTTTATCATATATTATTATCTAATAATAAATCAAACCATGGATAACTTGTACTACTTATCATAACTCTCTCTATATATATCTTAATGTAAAAATGATTTTAAATATTTAAAATGTATAATAATGTAAGACCTCTCTAACATTATTATGTTTGTATAAAAATGTAAGATAATTTATTTTAAGTTTTTTTTTTTCGATATTCTTTATTTTTTTACCTTAATTAATGTCTGACTTCGATGGGTAAACCTTCCAAATGCTTTTTTTTAATTAAATTTACGATGGTTTAAAAGCATTGATATTCCCACGTACTTCCATTCAGGACATATGTAGGTTTAAACCACGCCCCATATCAAATTGTAATACATTTTTCAAGTCATTAGTCTTTTTTCGTGTGAACATGAACATAGTTCCATATTTTTTTCTTTTACTTATTAAACCCCTTTTTTATAATAACATTAATATATTATGGAGATGATTAAAATAAAAAAACAAAAAAAAACTTAATAAATACAAAATTATATATATATCAATCTATTATGTATTGCCATCAATCTCACGATTTTAAAATGCATTTGATAGAGAGACGTTTTTAGACTATTATAAAAAACGTGACATCGAGTATATTAAATATTTTTTAAGACAGTGAAAAATCTTAAAAAAAAATAAAATAAAATATAGTTTATGTGGGGGTAAAAAGGGATTTTTGGGAGTAAGCAATTTACCTATTAGAATCCAATTAAATCCTATTCCACTCCTACCTCAAACCAACCATTAATGGAAATTTCCAAAAGAGGACAATTATAATTTGTGGCCCCCACATGTCTTTATCTCTCTTTCGTTTTTTTTTAGAAAAAATAAATCTCTAAAAAAAAGGGAAGAAAACAAAGATAATCATCAAACGAAGCATCCTGAACGTTGATTTGAGAATGAACGGTTGAGATTCTTGGAGTTGAATTTTGATAGTGATAAGAATGGAAAGGGGCAAGGTTCCAAAAGGGGGGGGGGGGATGGATATGGAAAGATTCTTGTGGTTGGCTGACATTAATTTCAAATCAAAAGAATAAAAATAAATTAAAAAATGAACGGTCACGATTGCATCACACTTTGCAGCTTTTGATTCATTGTTTTTTTCCTTTTGCAATTTTAGGGTATCGCTCACCATTGATTGGACATTCTGTCTCCATTAAGGTTTCTCTCTCTTCCCTAAATTATTGATACCCTAATTCTCATTTTAAAAAACAAAAAATTAATTAATTTTCTATTTAATATATCTCTCAATTTCTTTCAATTTGATGTTAGGAATAAATGGATGGAATAAAAGATCACCCTTATTTACTATTTTTTTTTTGGATATTACTGAGACCGAGTTAAGTACTTACTGCTCGTTAAAGTCATATCTTATTGTCTATTAAATGAATTTTTACGGCCTATTTAGTTATTTTTGACAAAATTTAAATACGTCAATTATCTAAATATTTTTTTTAAGATAGAAATTAAAATATTTAATTTTATTTTTTAAAAATGGTGTATATTTTCACCAATTCAATAATTAAACGATAATAATGTATCTCATAAATTAAAAATAATTCAAAGGTAACACTCATAACATCATTGACTAAAGGACAAGTTCGAAACAGTGAACAATAATTTAAAAAGCATGAAAAGGAATATATTATTATTATTATTATTATTGAATGAGATATAAATGGAAATTAATTATATTATATATATTTTGGATTCATGTGTTGTCCCTTTGCTAGTAAATTAAGAAATCTTCTTGAAACCTCTTATGTTTGGCCCACAAATATACATAGATATATACATTTCAAGGATAACCTTATATGTATATCCAAACAATCCCCCCAAACCAACGCATACATATCCTTAGTGAATCCCATGTCTCAAATTCTATTGGTTGATTTCGATAATATTTTTTAATGACTTTAATTCGATGCCTCCCGAATTTAAACTATATTTGCACAACATAATAAAATATGTAATTAACGTTGTCGATGGTCCAGACATATAAATTAATATTAGTGACGTAGACGTGTATTGAAACTAACCGTTATTGTGACTAAAAGGTAGGTGTAGAACATATATAGACAAAACCGAACGGATTTGAGAGTTCGAGAACCTATGATCGGGAACAGGGTGATGAGGGGTAGAAAAGTAATTTGGGGAAGAGGGGTAAAACGGGAATTTGACATGAGATGGGGTGTGGTCCCTCCCAACTACTAAACTCCAAGATAGTAGTACACTAATAATAATAGTGCAATTTAAAGTGAGTTGCCTTTTGGAGTAAAAGAAGAGACACCACATATTTCCTGCACGTGACTTTCCACCTTTACTCAAAAAAGCAAAAAAAAAAAACTTCTCTGTAGTCACTTACACGCTAATCATTCAACCGTGATTTCACAATCGTGGGTCCCGCCAGAGATCGACGGTTCATAGGGAATGAGACGCAAATCAACGATCGTATACCCGCACGTGTCGTTTTCACAGCACGGAATAATTAAGACCTGCGTAATTTTAAATAATGTTGCGTAACCTTTTGGTAAAAAAACAAAAAATAATTAAAAGATAAAATCTGAAGTACGCCGCTGTGGTTTGGGGAAAAGGACACGTCATTTATGTCATATTTTGTTGACATGAGGTGATCTGGCAACAACGATGTAGGGTCTTGAAGGGAGTGGATTGGGGTGTCCCACATCAATTGAGGAAGGGAATGAGTCCCAGCAAAGACGCTAGGCCTCGAAAGAGAGTGGATTGTGAAATCCCAAGAAGGGAACGAGTACCGACATTGATGCTAGGCCCCGAAGGGAGGTACGTTGTGAGATCCCACGTCGATTGTTGTGTGTATTTTTTCTTTTGTAAATCAT